AAGGTTCGCCTTGCTGCGCCAATGGGCCAAGGGGTCTCTAATTCTGCGTCGGTGTTTCGGATGGCGAATTTCGTGATTTCAGGGGCGCGTTTATGTTCCACCATTGACAGAGTGTGCCCTGCGAACATGCCTCGAACTCTCTTTGCCTCGAGCTCTTTGGCCGATGGCAGGTGCTGGTTCATGTCGATGGCGAGGCAGGCACCGGCAACCATACGGGAAATCAAAGTAGCACTAGATTACTGGATCAAGCAAGGCTTTCTTCGGTCTGCGAGATGTCCAAAATAAAGAGATGTCCAAAATCAGCGTCAGGTCGAACATGCGAGAAGGTCGAACAAAGGCACTGCGACGTGCCATAACCTCCGACTGCCTCCACCCACAAAGATTCAAAGATGAGTCTGACCCTTGGGCTCCGGCACCCTTGCCTTCAGCTGCGCAACCCAATTTGCCAGCCTGGCCACAGTTGCAACAAAAGCTTTCCTGTCAAAACCGGGAAGCTCCTCACCAGCACTGTTCTGCGCTTTAGCTGCAGCGTCGAGTGCAGGACTTGGGCTTCAGGGTTAATGTCTGCGAGAACGATTTCCCACTTCCTCTGAAAGTGACGAAACCTGACCAAACGGTCGAGGCCGATGCGAGTCCTGCAGAAAGCTCGCGAGAAGCTTTGTTGTGTCTCACTATGAAGGGGAAGCAAACATGGTTGCCCCTCGTTGTCGTACCACCATACTAAACCAAGCCATAAGCCCTGACCCCGAAACCGTCCGAGCAATCCGCAGCTGGCGCCATCCCTGCACGGTGCCTTCTTGGCCTCCCTTTGCAATGTGTCCAGAGCTTAGCGGCATGGAAGCCGTTTGACCGTCGACAAGTTTGAGTCATACAATCACAAGAATACTCGGCTGAATCGGTAGACTTCAGGATACCTTGGCTGCAACTGCTTCCCTTATTGATACGGCTTCTATTATTATTTCTTTCAGAATGAAGATGGCGATGGCCACATTGCATGACCAGTTGTGGTGAGTCCAGAACAGCGGAGTGCGACAACTTTATGCCAACATCTGCCAAAAGCCTTCCGACGCCGAGGTCATCGCCCGGCTGCACCATGAGGCGCCCTCATCAGCCAGTCCTCAGGGTTTCATGAGTTTAGTATTCGGTTCACGGATCATACTTCGAGCCATGAAAGCTCGTTCGCCTGGTTAGTGTATTCGGTTAGTGCACTCAATAGTGGTTGCGAAGACGGCAGCAAGGAAAGATAGTCATGACTCTGAGACCGATGTTACCCAGCAAGTCCTGTTGGGGTCATCATGGTAGAATACTTTAGTCTGTCCTGAGCAATCATTTTGCGTATCACCGCAATGTCGGGGTTGCACTTGCGATTGCAACGACTTACAGACATACGTATCAAGTCCGGCAGTGTTGTTCCTGTCAAAAAGTCTACTTAGGCTTCTTTGCAACATCCTGGCTGCATTCCCAGGTCGCGAACCCGAAATCGTGAAAGCCTTAAGTAGTAGACTTTCCTTCAGTTCTGCAGGGCTCTTGTGCCGTCGGTTGGCATCGAACAAGCAGCATTAGTGTTATGTTGCTTCCCCTTCCGTCCGGATCGCAACCGCAAAAAAAAACAGATAACGGTCACAGTAGGATGGGTACCTGGGATGACGGAGAACAGCCTCCGGCCCGAACCATTACGCATCCGTCAGTAGTCACTGATTTTGCCCTGCTCAAACAATGCACATCAGATTGTCAGGAGGGGTGAACTCCAGACGGTAAGCACCAGCAACATGAAACCATCCCTCCCCCGAACCATTCGCTGGCTCTTGCGAGGCAAGGTCTCCAGCTGTCCGCGCAGTCTTGGATCCACCTTCGAGCACCCAGCGGGGCCGTCCCGGAAGAATAAGTGGTTGGGGTGTCGTGTTGTTCTCTCAGGCCTTGCGACATATGGGGGTTCGTGGTCACAAGTTTTCTGCTTCAGGCCCCTTGACTGCATAATCTACCCAAAGTCGGGACCCTTTCTCTGCCTGGCTTTGCATCCTAAAAGCCGGCCAAAGGTCAGGATTCCGACACCTGCACCCCAGACCTAAAACCCCGACGCGCTAATCCAAAAAGCCGGAACAATACCCTTGGATCGCTGCAAGATGAGTTCAGTTCAGTGGCCGCAACAACAACGAGGACGACGAGACTGGTTAGTGTCAACCTTTCGTTGCTGGTTTCATTGCAAGTCTCAAGCCGTAAGGTATCCTCGCTTTATTTCGCGAAATGATAAGCGCAACTCAACTAATAGAAGAATGGATCACCACCCAAACCAGCCTCAAGGATGAGCTGATCCGAACTCTTGAACAGCTCCAAGTGCTTTCCAAGGCTCCCTGTCGCGCTTGGCCATAGCTTTCGAGATGGGCGTTCGGGACCCAGTTGGAGGGCTTGGGGGGATTTAGCTGAATGGGGTCCGCGGGGTTTTTCGTTTCTTTCCCAGGTGCCTTCGCGGGTTTGACATGCGAGCTTAGGCGCGCGTGGATGTTCTGAATCCTCAGCAATTAACGTGACCACTTGCTTTTAGCCTCCTGTATAATCAGGTCACGATGTCGGTGTAGGGTGCTGCTGGGACCAAGCCCCCCAGCAACCTTGAATTGCTAAAATTGTAAGCTGAGGCTCCGCCCCATAGACCCTAGACCCACACCATGTCTACATCTCGCCAGCACCGCCAATAATGACCCTTTCAAGTCGGAAGCCGGTAGTGCTCCTTAGCCCCGAAGCTCAGAAGATGACCCTCCCACAGCTTCAAGGCAGAAGGCTCCCGGACGCTGAGCCCCGACTTGGTCTCGCGCTGCGGGGATCTTCGGCTGCACCTTTGAAGTGTCACAGCCCTTTAGGGAGATGTCTACTGCATGGCGCCTGACGGTGGCATGGAGCTGTCAAAAGGTGAAGAGCTCTACGTATGCAGGCGAAGGTAGTACCATCCTCGTATCTCTAGGAGGCAAGACGAATAGCTTCGCGGAGTGATGTGTCCGGTGGATGAGGTTTGGAAATGAAAGTTAGGATGCGTCCGTCGGGTGTCAAAGCCGGGGAAGTCCAGAGGTCCTGAGGCTGTTCCTTCCGCTGCGACTTGCAGGTCAATCCTCAATTTCTCGTTCTGAATCCCCATAGCACGAAAGATGAGCTGGAAGTTCCGGTTCAGACGGATAACGGGAAGAAGTGCCGGTTGCGCAAAACTCAGCATTCCAGGTCGTGCATCTGCCTACGGAGGAGGCTCGCCCGGATTTGAGATGCGGTATCTTGGGCACCGGAACTTTCCAGAGGAAGACAAGCACGGAGCTGGGGTCCTGAGCACAGGACTTTCGCAAGGAGCTGGAGCTCCTTGTCTCTGGCTTTGGCGCAGAGGCGAGCCCCGTGCCTACGTTACGAGATGCATGTCAGGGATTGTCAGGGGTCCCGGGGCTTTCTGCTTGAGAGTCTCGGTGTCGGGATTTGCGAGAGCTGTCGGACTCGACGACACCAGGATCTGTGGGAGCAGCTCACACGTGCAGTTTGAGCCCGCAGGCATTTCTGGCTCGTGTGAAACCTGGCTCCAAACCACTGCTCTACAGTTGCCATCTTGGCTCAGGGCTGTGGATGTTACGAGCAGGTCGCAATATACATCCGGGCTGTAGAAACCCGGCCTGATAGATCTGGGAATCCGTCAAGCTTGCTTGCAAGGTTTTGCTTTAGAGCGGGTGTTGTTGCGATCGCCAAAGTCGTAACCAAGCAGCTGCTACAGACGTTGCTGCTTTTCCGCTTGCTGTGATTCCTATCCAAAACTCGAAACCACAGGCACACTGACACACTGGCAGCAGTCATACGCTTTAAGTTGCTGAAGTCAGTGAGAGGACTGGCAGCAACAATAGTAGGGCGTTCTGAAACCAAGCAGAGCACAGCTTGGCTTCGGCTTGTAGAGAGCCTTCCTTTGAAATTTTCAATCCGCCCCCCGACCTTCCAGACGACGTTGTGACCTAATGAATACACTCAGAGCTTTTTATGGACCTCAGGTCATTGCTTGAGGAAAACCGATGCGCGGAGAGTATGCCTCTTGAATCAGACAATTCGAACCTTGTCATAGAGTGGAAGGTCCTGGGGTGTCGACACCAAGAGGTTTCAATTTGTTCATGATGCCGCGCTGCCTGGCGGGAAAATTCCGGCTGCCTTTGGAGCTGCATGCTACATCCGTGAGCTCTTGGGAGAGCGAGATCCAGGCTCTGGGAGAGTGGAGAAAAATACAATTCTTCTCGCGACATTTAGCTCCCTATCTTCGCAGATTCCTCCCAGATAAACGTTAGTCTTGACAGTCTGCGACAGTGGTGAAAGCTCGCAACCTGTACAGCTGCCGCAAGCGCTGTTGGCGAGTTCCGAGTGCCTTGCGCTTCGGCTTGTTGGCCGTCTTGTTGTTGGTGGTAGTCTAGCGATGATGATGTGCTGCGGCTGATGATGGTGGTGGTGATGATCGCGTGGTCCTGGTTGGTATGCGGCCACCCAGACTATCGGCCGTGTCTGTCCACGCATTCAGTCTCTCTCCCTCTGTCTCTGTCTCTGCGTCCCTTTCTCCCATTCATTCATTCTCTCTCTCTCTCTCGCGCTCTCGCTCCATGCATATACGGATAGTAGCATAGATACATCCGTACGTACGTACAGACAGGCAGGCAGGCAGACGGACAGACGGATGCATGATGTACATACATACATGACTTACATGAGAGACGGACCTTAGGGTTGTATTCGGCCACCTTCCTATGCAGCCACTTGCTTTTGCTTTTCCGGCCTCACTCTGGGAGTTCAATCAGAACCTGAGCGAATGAGGTTGGCTTGGCAAAGCAGGACTCTTTTTCCAGTCCCTGTAATTGCCCTGCGTGTTGGGATTCCCAACAGCTTACCACAGCACGGAAACCTTCAATCCTTGGCCGCAAAATGAGGACCCAACACGCCAGCCCCAGAAATTCCAGTGCGATTCCTAAGCGCTCAATTCTAAACTCTCGCGTGTCAAAGAGGCTGAAATGCGCTTCCCGATGTACACCGTCCCTTCAGAGGTGGGAGGAGTTTTTCGCTGCACTTGCAGGTTTTGCGTTTCGCTCGTAAAGATTCGCGGACCCCTTGGGGTCTGAGTGGAGATTGGATGGAGCTTGTAAGCTAACCCAAGACCCACGACTCCACAGTTCGAGACATTCACAGGTGTTGTTGAACATGGAAGAGATCAGACCACATGAAGACCTCAAGGCCGGTTCCCGGAGGTTTCGTCCATTTTAGGGGTCTCGTTGATTACAGCGATGATGATGTGCCTAATGCCCCTGCTGCTGCTATGATGGATTGACAATTGTCAGCATCGTCATCGTCGTCGAAAGTGTAATCACGGCAACGGCAAAGGTGTGTGTAATCGTAGTTGCCGCCGTCGCAGTTGTCGGCATCGTTGTCGTCGTCCTAGTGAGGTAGTGGTGGTGCTAGTGGAAGTGGAAGCGGAAGTGGTAGTGGACGTGAACGTGCTGGTAGTGCCAGTGCCAGTGGGTGGCAGTGGCGCAGCAGCAGCAAGAGAGGAAGAAGAAGTAGTAGCAGCAGCAGCGGCAGGAGTAGTAGTAGCAGTAGTAGTAGTAGTAGTAGTAGTAGTAGTAGTAGTGGTAGTGGTAGTGGTAGTAGTAGTAGCAGTAGTAATGGTAGTGGTAGTAGTGAGTGCTAGTACTATACTTGTACTGGTACTGGTACTAGTAGTAGTAGTAGTACTACTACTACTACCACTACTACTGCTACTACTACTATTCGTACAAGTACTAGCACCAGTACTTGGCGCCAGCCTGTTCCTGTGACCCCCCTCTCTTTTCTTTTGCCCCTTCCCACAGTCGTGTCAGTGCTTGTTTGTGGACACTGCTCTGTTGCCAGCTTGAAACACCGCCTTCACAATCTCAAATCGGGCTTTCCCATTAGATTAGGGCTTTCCTATTGCATAGAGGTTTCCCATTAGATTCAGATAGGAATTTCTGATTAGATAGTGTGGGTCTTCCCATTAAACCGGGTTTTCCAAGTAGATGGGACTTTCCTATAAGATGAGGCTTTCCTATTAGATGGGGCTTTCCTAATCGATATGTTTTTCTATTGAACAGGGTTTTCCCACTAGATCGGTTTTCCGATTAGATAGGACTTTCTCCTCGATTCGATACGGTTTCCTGTTAAATGTGTCTGAGAAGTAGCAGCAGTAGTAGTAGTAGTAGTAGTAGTAGTGGTAGTGGTAGTGGTAGTACTAGTAGTACTAGTAGTACTGGTACTAGTACAGTACTAGTACTCGTAGTCGTAGTCGTAGTCGTTGTCGTAGTAGCAGCAGGGGTCGTAGTAGTAGTAGTAGTAGTAGTAGTAGTAGTGGTAGTAGTAGTAGTAGTAGTAGCAGTAGTAGAGTAGTAGTAGTAGTGGTAGTAGTCGTCGTCGTAGTAGTCGTAGTAGTCGTAGTAGTGGTGGTGGTCGTGGTGGGAAGAGCAGTGTAGGAGGAGTAGGTGCAGGAGTAGGAGTGGAAGTGGTGGTAGAAGT